GTCTTGTTTGCAGCATAAAAGTTGCACGCTATCGGTAACATTTTTCCTTATTTGTCCTTCATATTTTAATATAGCTCGAGCAACAATTTCGTTTAAATGTATCGATTTTGCAAATAGCGCAGCCTTTGCTCCACATTACACAGACAAATAAGTTTTCGTTTAAATTTTTACTTTTTGATTTTGTCTGATATTATCTAAAGTTAAAGTCCAAAATTGCAATTAGCGCTACAATTTGATTTTCGACACATGTCGAATTAAAACTATGCCTGTACCTAAATTGTATCTGTTTTACTTTTTGCTATTTACCTTTCGAAATATTTAAAATAAAGCAAGCAAAAACTTTACCATGTTCGCTTACAAAGAACAAAACGCATTCTGTCGTTTCTCCAAAAGAAAATCAGAGAATTTTTTGTAGCAATAAAGTTAGAGATTCCACTTGTTGAACTTACTCCATTTTTTTGAAATCGTGTTAAATCAAAACCGCATTACAAAAAGTAAGAAAATTAAATATCGTCATGACTGAATTTTCTACACTCATCACCGTTTGCCCCCCCAAAAAAAGCGAACGAAGTAAAAGCACAAAATTCTCATACTCTCTCTCAGGCATGTCCTCTGAAAAGTTTAGGGCACTTCCAAACGCCTTTTCAAATCTTTAGGCAAATATCTCTATTTTCGCTAACGGGAGAATGTTTACCACGAATACTACAAAGTTACGCAAACAGACAGATGGACATAGAGCAACTGGCCAAGAATTTGTATACTTTATGGGGTTTTGAAGCTTGTTTCTGCTATGTGCGTTATAAAGGTATTGAAAGTATCATTAAATTTTTGTGTACAGATGCTATAGCATCGTCCATAGAATTTGCGCTCAAATTTTGGTACATTTATTTGCTGTAGTTTAAGAGTAGCGATCAAAAGACCAATTTTTCATTTGCTTTGAAAAACAGAGTTGTTCTCAGTCCACATGTTGCTATGAACGTGTCCTTCGACCTATTTGGCCAGCCTGCATGCAAGAAGTTCCAACATTTCTGCCAATTTTGAAGTCGATACATTGATTTTTGCGGCCAGGAGAATGTTTACAATTGAATGACATTACATAGATGGGCAGACGAACATGCTTAAATCAATTTAGAATTTGATGCTGATCAAGAATATATGTATACTCTGTGGGGTCTCTAATGCTTTCTTTTGAGCGTTGCAAATGTTTTGACGAAATGAATACACACTTCATCCTTCCGTGATGGGTATAATAATCGCAAATTTTGTACAGCCTAATATTGAAGTCTTTTAACAGAATTATTTTATACGAGGGACGTCTGCATATTTGTTTAAAGAGCCATCAAATTTGTCCATATATTCATTTCTATACCAATCACTGAAGAATGAGGGTGTATTTGTTTTATTAAAACATTTACAAGGGCCACAAGGAAGCTGACACCCCCCACAATATATTCTTGATCAATATCAAATTCTGTCTGTTGTAAGTATTCTACTGGTCTTAAAAATGAAGCGATCGACTTTAAATTTGGCAGAAACAGTGGAATTTAGTGCACGCAGGTTGGTATTGAAAATAAGTGAAGGGCACGTCCACAATACCAACTAAATGAAGAACACCTCTGTTTTGAGAGGGAACAAAAAATTAGTTCCTTGTTCGCTGCTTACAAACTACAGCAGATAAATCTACAAAAATGTTATCCCTATATTATATAGGCAATACTGTAGTATCTCTTCAAAAATGAAGAAAGCGGTCACGACTACTTATTTTATGGTATTTCATATATTAATTGTTTTTTTCAAAATATGTATAACGCACTAAAGAAAGATTTAAAAACCCAACAAAGTCTATAAATTCTGGGTCTAGGTCTAATTCAGAATGCACTTAGGCATGTACCTCTGTTTGTCTGTCCATATAACTGTCTGCAACTGTGCATTACTTGTGGTAAGCATTGTCCCGTTCGCAGAAATAAAAATATCGCTTATAAACTTGCAAAAGAATTTAAAAACGACCCAAACGTTTCAAAGAACGCACCTACAAAGCCCACATGTCTTAGAAATAAAAACTGCCAACCGTGTTTTTTGCTTGTTACTCATAAAAGTACTACACATAACTCATAAATTTTCACTTTTATTCTAAAAATTCTGTGACCGTCCAATATTATGGAGTACGAAAATTTAGTTGCTACGCTTTTTTTACGACCACAGTGATGAGTATAGAACATTCGTTCCCAACGGAATACAATTCTCTTACTTGCTTTAAAGTGATCTTAATTATTTTGTCTGAAATTGATATTTGCTTCGTTTTTTTTTATATAAAAATTGTCAACAATTTTTACAAAAATACAGATCTTGCGGATCAAAGTTTAACGGGATCGTATTTTTTTTTTTTTAAATAAAAATTGCATTTCAGTTACTACCTATGGACAACGCTGTAAAAAAATGATTACGGATTGTTTGCGCTTCAGCGAAATGGTCCAGCATGCAGAATGTCTCTTGACACAATCAACGTAAAATCCCCAGAAAGGCCGATGCGAACTATCCGCCAAGATCGAGCGATATAGCCCCATATGATTTTTCTCTGTGGCTAAATCAATGGCTTACTCCAACAAATCACAAACACTTAATGTGCACTTAATCAACGTTACTCGTTTCGTTTTTTATTAGTGAAGTAAATGCAGATATATATGGAAAAGTGGTCAAAGTGGGACGTTCTAGAATCGAAATGTTGCAACAATCCAGGGGCAGCAATGTAGATCTAAAATAAAAAACAACGTATTGATATCTTGTATATTTTTGTTTTTACATTAAATTCATATATATATGTTTTTATATCTTTTATTTACATTACTCTGTAATACGTTTGAAATTATATTTAGCTATTGTCGGTGTTCTTGCGTATTTTCCAACTGGATGAAGTTAATTAGCCGGAAAGCAATGCTTATCAGTTGGGATGATGTCTCAGTGCTACTAGTCGTACGAAAATAAATATTAAATATATAACTATCGATAACAAGGGTGACCACGTTGGTCTATAGTATTGTGAGGTAATTAAGCCGAGACAAAACCATCCTGGGAATGCTATCAATAACAACTGATCGTGTCCAGCGCGGGTTATTAAAGGCAGATTGAACCACGGCAAAGTGTTTATTTATTTATTTATTACGAAAGTCTTCAGACTTATCTTCTTTCTTTAAACAAAACTAAAAAAAGAAAGAACATTACCTTAAGTGAAAATATGTATAAATATAAATCAGGAAAAGAAAAAGTAATCTCCATAACATATTGCAGTCGGATGTGTTGAAGCTGTATTTTGGACATGGTACGGGGATTTTATATAGAAATATTAGCGTTTTTCGCAAATACCAGCATAACAAACAAAGCAAATTTTCTTCCTTTTTCCATTTTGTACGCCTACGTGAACTGAATTATAATATTTACACAAACTCATTGAGCCATTTGTGTGTATGTTTGGATATCTTCGCGTACCTATTGAGAAATAAACAACAAATTTTTTTGGCAAAATTATAAATATGTAGTTAGCTGCCGCCAATGCAGAAAATTAGAGACGTTGCGTATCTAATTTCATTAATTGTCTATCGAGTTACTGTTGCCAAAAACCGCAGGAAGCGCAGATACATTTGATTTGAAGCGAAGTCAAACAAATACATTATAATGGCTGGATTTTTTACTAGCAATTGGCTTAAGTAGGAATCAATGCGTCAAGCAGAACTACTGAAGTGTTACCAATCACAATTCCGATTACAATATTTTAAAACATTTTGAACTTATGGTAAAGTGAGCTAAGTATCTTATCTAAAAGTAATATTAACGGCTGTTTCTTGTTTATTGATTGATTAATTGATTTATCAAACCATTCAACGCAACAGATAGCTGTGCTTTATTAGGCCTCCACGTTCCCGAATCATTGTACTTACGCGCTGCATAGATCTGCTGTGCTTTCTTTTACGATATTGAACTGATAGCTGAATGAATTATTTCATTATTATTCTTCAAGCAACTAAGAAATTATTGAATTCTTTTTCATATTATTTTTTTTTATAATTGATAAAAGTCTTAATATTTGGAACATGTCCATTTTCTACGTGATATAAACGTCGAATCTTCCAATAATTTTGTTATAAAGTTAGAATCCGAGCATGAAAAAAAAACTCGTACATACGTTTGCATATTCTAAAACAATAGAAATCTATTTATAATATAACAAATCTTCGTACGTATACATAACTATACATGAGATATAGTGAATGAGTCGGTAGAGAGAATTTTAGACTCTCGAACATATTTCAAAAAGGAAAATCGCAAATAGAAACATAAAAAAAATAACTGAAAATTGAAGACGAATTTCGGGCACCCGTAAGGGTTAGTTGACAGACGGTGTGATATTAACTTTATATTATGTTCGTTCTTCAACAAATGAAAAATAATAACAACAAAAATGTCAACAATGAAATTAAAAATTTAATAATTGTGTTTAGTGAGTCTTGAATAAGTCCTGTTTTGAAATTCCCTAATTGAGATTATGCATAACATTGCGACTTCGTTCGACGGTTCATTCATAAATCAAATCAATATCATGCATAAATTAGAAATATTTGATTCAAAACAAAGTATTCTTCACTTGTTTTTACCTCTCGGGAAACAAACAGCAATAGCCATCCTGTCGCGAAGAAATAAGTTTATTAAGAATTTTATATATCTCATCTTCTGGTAATGCACATAAAAATTAAAATTTTAAATTGTACGGGTACATGTTTATATGTGTTTTGAAAAGTGCACGGTGTAGAATAATAATACAATATAAGAAACTTGTATGTGCTTGCGATAATAAGGGGAAATTTTCGATTTATTTTTTATGGGGGAAATTTTTGAAAAAGAGATATTGGACGAGATTTGAGAAATCACTAACATTCATATGTGCGTGTCTACATTTATGTAGAAACAGATTTCGAAGGAAAAAATTTGTAGGCGATGTTGTTAGAAACAAAAAATATCAAAATTTCGTTGTTGGACCTTCGTGTGGCTGAAAAGTTAGTGTATATCAGTGTTCTTGGAATTTTGATAGCGTACAGAGTGTTTGAAACGCTAAGGTTAGTCTTGCTGCACGTACTATATACTGAAAAAGGATAACCATGGAAATTGCTACATACCAACTAATTGCGAATTATTTAAAAATGTTTAACAAAAAGGAAAAAAAATTAAATGTTAAAAATTAAATAAATTTAAAAATGTTTAACAAAAAGGAAAAAAAATTAATATGTTTAGATAAAAATTACATAAAAGTGAACGAATATTTATAAAATTTTTATAAAAAACTTTATAGCAAGGGTCGCGTATGTTGGAAAATAAGTGCCACCGAGCAAACCAAAAGAACTAAAAGCCAAAACTATTGCCATACATTTAAAAAATAAAAGATAATTTACTCTCTTTCTAATATTTCTCTAATATCATGACATAATTTTTAAATATAATTCATAATAATAATATAATTAAAAGAAGTTTAAAAATTTTTGAAAATTTCAAAACGATTTCAACGGGAATTTTTGAAAACATATTTTTCTTTCTGTTCACGAAAAAAAGAAGAAATAATCAAAAAGAGAAGAACTATGTGGGAAATTTTCACATATAAGGCAGTTTGTAACCAAATCGCTGTTGGCCCATAAATACTTGGATATACTTCAGTGTATTTGTTAATATCCACATACGCATCCGATTTTTGTTCAAAGAAAAAAAATTATATATGTATAAATATATATATATATATATATATAATTTATATGTATGTATATATTATATGTATGTATATAAGAAAACAGCGCATGTCGACACATGCACGCATTTGATCATTTAGACGCAATGTACATATTTGGCAATATGTATATAGATAACTCCTCATTGTGTGTTCTTCTTGTCAAAAATTATTAATATACACGTACTCTTATGTACTGACGATTTTTTTATATATAGTAGACGTTGTAAATACGTGATATAAAGTATTTTTGGCTCAAAAGCAACCGTAAAATAAAGCTTTTCCGTTTTAAATACGTGATATAAAGTATTTTTGGCACAAACGCAACCGTAAAATAAAGCTTTTCCTTTTAAAGCTTTTTAGGCTCGAATTGTTTTCTTCACTGTATAACACTCAAGCTCTTTAGCCTTGAATTGTTTTCTTCAGTGTAGCTCACAAAAATGGATGTAAAATATGGAATTGACGAAAAACTTAATATACTTAATATCATCCGAAAACACGCACGAGAAAAAGTATTCTTCCTGATTTCAGTTGATTATATTAAAAGAAGCATACGTGCTTGGAATTTGGCTTGTCTGCGCGCATTATCTGTTGAATGTGAGAGATGCATGCATTCGTTAGCCGTCTCCGGGCAAACAGCTCACCCTTTATACCACTAAACACCACAGACCCTTCAACAGAAATGTTTTTTGGATCCTTTAATTTATATGTCATTTTCCTCAGCAGCTTAGTTAACCAGTTCATAAAACTGAATCATCCTTGCCTAACTCTGCATTCTTGCAACTTTGAAAATCTTCTGAAGCTATGATCAGATTCAGACGAAATAAAACGCTAAATTTGAAATTAAAAAAAATTACATTCCGAATGGAATTTTAATGGGTGTTCATATTTTAAATAGTCTCTGTGCTAGCGAAGGATGTATTATTCCCTCAATCGATTATATATTGATCAATGAGGAGAGTTGTGAATGCGGCAAATATACCCTATATCTCCAGTCAATATATAAACACTTGCAATATTTTCCCAACTGAAAGCGCGTAAGTTAGTCGAGGGCCACGTTTGTTACTATGAGCTTATAAGTGCGATTGCTACTTATTTGTATTGGATGCATAAACTTCAATTACTTTTAGAAACGGTTTTGAAAAAAACTATAATCTTAAAATATTGGTTTTAATAAACTTCGATTTTCATCAAACATTGGTTTTAATAAATTTCGAGTTTCACCAAATATTGGTCAAAAACTGCTTACATGTGTTTTAAATATTATGAAATGAGGATTTTTAAGTAATGGATATTCAAGATTTGTACTAAAGTCGAGGTAATATGTTAGCATGTGACAGATCATTTAATGTGAAGAATCTAAGTGAAAAAGTTTCTTAAGTTTCGTTAAGTTCGTAATAACTGATGCGAGAAAATGTTTCAACACAAAAAGTGGGCATATGTGCATAGTTCATGCAACATGTAGTGCCAATGTGCACGCAGAAGGATCTATATCATAGATATAGATATGAATTAGCCACACGCTTAAAATCAATGACAAAGCAGGATGAAACTTAAGACGCTTATTCCAAAACAAAGAAATTGGAAGCTGTAGGATAACTTTACTGCGAATATTAGAAAACTGATGTATATAACCGTTAATGAATATGATCTTAGCTAAGGTGACTCTTCCATTCGACCTGATTACAAACGTTCATCGCTTCTCTTATCGAATGTCTAAAACACGTTTCTATTGTATAAATAATAAAATTTCGCCTAGAATAAATATTTATTGCAAGTAATATTCAAAAATGCAATTGAAGACAATACATTAATCATTCAAAAAGTAATTAATATTAAATTCACTCTGTTAAACACGTTTACAGAGTTTTCCTTCCTTCCCAAATACCGATAACTTTGAAAGAAAAGCGTAAAATAGAAACATGGATGCGATCAAGAAGAAGATGCAAGCGATGAAGCTTGAAAAGGATAATGCAATTGACAAGGCCGACACTTGCGAAGCGCAGGCCAGAGATGCCAATTCGAAGGCTGACAAATTGATTGAAGAATTGCACGATTTGGAGAAAAAGTTGGTACAAGTTGAAGCTGATTTGGTATCCAATAAAGAACAACTGGAAAAAGCAAATCACGAGTTGGAAGAGAAAGAGAAATTGTTAACAGCCACGGAATCCGAAGTAGCTACATTGAATCGTAAGGTACAACAGATTGAGGAAGATTTGGAAAAATCCGAAGAACGCTCCACCAGCGCCCAACAGAAATTGTTGGAGGCTACACAAGCCGCTGATGAGAACAACCGGTAATTTGAACGATATTTCAATATTATTACAATGTGTTGAAAATCATTTCATTTCAGTATGTGCAAAGTATTGGAGAATCGCTCTCAACAAGATGAAGAACGTATGGATCAGTTGACCAATCAATTGAAGGAGGCCCGTATGTTGGCCGAAGACGCCGATACAAAGTCCGATGAAGTATCACGCAAGCTGGCCTTTGTTGAGGATGAGCTGGAAGTGGCTGAAGATCGCGTTAGGTCCGGTGAAGCAAAGATCATGGAACTTGAGGAAGAACTGAAGGTTGGTCGTTAAAATTAAGAACAAATTTTATAATTTTTATTTGCAATACCCAGAAACGAATAACGGAACAATGAATGTTCAGATCTGTCTTCAATTAAGAAAAAATTGGAGCTTTGTTCCGTCTTTGCCTAATTGCTTTAATAACAATAGCCCATATGAAATTTCGATAAAGAGAAATGCACTCGAATTTACGAAAAGGAGGCAAACCAAAAACATCTTAAAAGTGAAATTAAGAAGAAAACTTTATTATCAATAGAATAAAATATAGAATATAGAAGTACAAAAAATTTGGTAAGAGCATTCTTATAGGATACTGCCAACGTCCGTCATTTTTCAAATACTCTGGTGTGTATAATATGAGTCCTAGCAACGTCTTGCGTTAAAAAATCAACGCACAGTATTATTTCATGCATTGTGGGCTATTTTTTTTTAATGACCGATAAAGTTGCATTAGTAGTTGTTGGAAGAGTTTTTCAAAGGTGGCTTCGTTGGGTTAGATCCGTTGTTACCACATTGCTTTGAGCTAAATGCCATAAATAGAAGTGACAGAAATATTCAATTTGCGGTCGATATTATCGCACAATTTTTTTTAGCTTTTAATCACGTCACGATTTAGTCGCAATCTGGCTCGAATAAAGCAGAGAATTAACTCTTCTATCATTTGGCGGGTTCTTGGCACAGAATTCGACTTATTCAAAGGTTTTAAAAACTATGTTAAACATACACCTGCATGATAATTTATATCGTCGTGAGAAGCTCAAAAGCAGTGCTACCTCATCAAAAAGTTATAGTTTGATGGCCGTAACTGGGCAGTCGGTGTCATTTTTGTTTATATACATATAATACATATATGTTCACTTAGCCACATCCATTTTATGGTAATAAAAAATTATTTAATATTTTCTTATTCGTAACGAAAATCAAATTCTAAAGCATGTGAAAGCTCAAGATAGTTAAGTTATAAGCTTTCGATAACGGCGATTTTATTCTTTGAACTTTCAAAAATAAAAGACCGGACAGCGTTGAATGTTCCAATTTTGAGAGTTTATTGCAAATTTCTTCTTTATATCTCATATAGGCTGCAAGTTTTTTACTTATTGATTTCATTTAATAATATCCACTATCAAAATCCCTTCTAGAACTGAACCACGGATATGTGCCTTAGGTTTCTACTTTCTATCGCCAAGCAAAACAAGAGAAGATATCGATTTAAAATTTTACCAAAAAAAACGAATACAAATTAGTTTATTTATCGTTACGCAGGTGATACACACGCCTGCATGAGTAGAAATGTGATCCTGATAGAGAAATAGTCGATATAAAAATGTTGAAGACAAACTTTAAATTTTTCAATATTTAGGTTGTCGGGAACTCCTTGAAATCTTTGGAAGTATCTGAAGAAAAAGCAAATCAACGTGTTGAGGAATTCAAACGCGAGATGAAGACCCTTACGATCAAATTGAAGGAGGCTGAGCAACGCGCTGAACAAGCTGAAAAGCATGTGAAACGTCTCCAGAAGGAAGTCGATAGACTAGAAGGTATGTTTTTGTATTCCCTCTTGTTTGCAAATATTTTCGCAGGAATATTTATAGTGTGATTTTAGAAGGTCTCTGGCCTGCTTTTGACCATTATTCTATATTGTTTCCATAATATTATTTTGTATAAATATCCATTACATACATATGTAATTCAATATCTAATTATTCGGTTTTAAGTATTTTTATTTTACTTTTGCTATTTTAATGCTTTTATACTTTGTTATTAATCTTGTAATTTACTGGTGAAATCAATTAACAACAAATGGCTTTTTGCAGACCGTCTCTTCCATGAAAAAGAAAAATACAAAGCAATCTGCGATGATTTGGATTCAACCTTCGCCGAACTTACCGGATATTAATGAACAAAAGAGAATTGCTACACTCTTAAAAAAAAAAATATATGAAAGTACACGATACACCAGTCCCAAAACCATCGATATAGCAAAAAATACTTTCACAGCTTTCTTAAGACTTTTTACCAGATAATAAATATGTACGTATATATAAGTATGTACTTATATATACCTATGTATGAATATATATATACATATATATACCTATGTATACATATATATATGAATATATATACACATGTACTAAACGCAGAAAAAAGAAAGCTGCCTTGACTTTCGACCAAAACTTAGCAGAGTGTAAATATCCAAGCAAACTGATTTAGATGCTTTGTTAAACTTCCCTTCATCTATAGGTACTGTAGAATATTTTTCTCGAACATATACAGTTGCACAGACACACACAACATACACGCAGTACTCCCCCTACTTGCTGTTTATTCTCAATTTATACACAACCATTTAGTTGCTACTTCAAGCGCCCATAAATATAAAGACACTTACACTTAAACGAACTCCCTTTAAGATCAATCAACATTATGTAAAATAATCCAAGTTAAAAGCAACAGCGTTTATTTTATGATTCAACCTGCCGCAAAATTTTCTGTTGAAAGTTGTTATTATATATAAAAAAGGTGATTTTTCAAATGCATAAACATAGAAACGAATCTCTTGAAAACTTTTTTCTTATAAAAACCAAAAAAAATATTAAAAAAAAAAAAAAAGAATTTGTTAAGTGTTGCAACCCATTTTGTGTGTGCGTGCGCGTTCAAGTTACAAACTGTTGTCTTTTTATGTTTTCTCTGTAAATTTTTTAAGTTTGTTGTTCTCTGTTTCTTTTTATATGTATACATTTACGTTCGTATTTTTTTTTTTTTTTTTTTTTTTTGGCTAGCATGAATGATTATATACTATGTTTTTATTATATATACATATGTAATTTATAAACATTTGAGTGAACATTTCTGGTACATTCTATACAGAGTTCATTGTTAAAGAGGCAAGAAAATTAACAATTATAAGAAAATTTGTTAAATATGCTTTCTGTTTCATTTAAATCTATTCCAAAACAGTAACAAATAAATTCAAACTTTTAGGGCGTACCTTCGGAGGTCAGGTCCCAAATATTGGGTTTTTAAAGGTCCCAACGTATTTGAAACGATTTCTTATATATTATATATATCATCAACATTTTGTTTAGAGTCAAAGTAGAATTTTAACATAATTGCTTAAAGCATGGAAACACAATAATAAAATATTTCCAAAAGCGATCCTTAATAAAATGAACCTTCAGTCATCAAATGAAAAACAATATTGCACGTGTGCTAAATTAATTTGGTTCCAAAAAGAGGTAAAAACATTAAAGTGGCTTACGGTCCACCTTTAAATTCCCTATACCATTTCTTGTAATGCGGTTATTTTCAAAAAGGGGTGCTATACGCGAAGTGGCCGGAAAAGTGGTTCGATCCAAAGCATTTCAATAATGTTCGTTCTTGAACCCAAAAAACTTTTTCAAAATTGTGATCTGTAGATGGAACCAAGAATGCAAGGTTGACCGACGGACAGCCGCACAGATAGAAGACACATCTAGATCTTAGTCTGGCCGGCTTGTCTTCGGTATAATAATAGATGATTCTACTTCAAATTTTGTGGATGTTTTATACGTCCGCACAAATTTAATAGAGACTTGTATCACAAGTGGTGTAGCGTGTAATTATCAAGGCGTAGAACACATCTCCTTTCAACGTAAGTGAACGATGATGTTGAAATAATAAAGAATTCATCTTTAGTTTGTATAAATTGTAAAGATATAATTAAACTAAATTGCATTGCACTTTATAAATTCCGTTAGACCAGGTTATATCGTTCACCTCATTTTTCAATCTATCTTCATTTCTTTTTTTTTTAGAGCAATTTGATATTTTTGGAAAAACCCACATCAATTATGCTTTTAGTTACTGTAACTACGATTTCTACACTGAAATGAAACAATATATTTAGCTTTATAAAAATCGAAACTTTTTTTTTTAGTTATGTTATTTTTTCTTCAATCTTTCACTCATGAACAAAACACTAAAAAATTAATACACTTCTTGTTTGCATCAAATGAACATTTGAAGAGAAGTCCATTTCACCAAGGAATATAACATAACACAAGTAAAAGAATGACAGTGAAGTAAGATCGCCCCTAAATATCCCACTCCATTTCGCAATCCACATCCAATGCAATTCTTTATATATTTTCTTTCTCTGCTGTATATATGTACATTTCGAAAGGATGGTTGCACTATAAGGATCTCAAAAATGTTCACCGTTCGATTGGAATCATGAACCATTTCGAAATATTTTTAACCAACTGTTTTTTTCTTTGGAAATTAGATGTTTTTCATGTGCGTCTTTTTTGAAACAAGGCGTTATATGGAAAGTGGTTGCAAAAGTGGTAATCATTTAGTGCTCTTTCGTAGTTCAAATTTCGTCAAAGTAAACCGAAACTCAAAAAATAAAATCGAAAAAAAAAGTTGAGCATAAAGCAGACGTATACCAAACTGAAATTCAGAGAATGATTGTGAATCAATCGGTGGAATAAAAAGCGAATCTAATTTAAATGATTTTGCTTGCTGGATATATCCACACACTTTATTATAACTTTACGATAAGCGATGTAGAGTGTAATAAATGCAACGTCTCCCGTTTCTCTAGCTTTTTCATAATTTATTACTGTTCGCGAAGCGAGAGTGTTCCTTGCGCTGTTTCTGCCTTTTTTCTACATCTTTGCTATTAGTGTTTGAGCTTTGTCCGCAAATTTCTTTCGAATTTGATAACGTAATTATTAGAGAGTTAGAAACTTATATTGACCACATTGGCCGCCAACCAATATCAGTTTAAATCACGCGGCCGATCTGGTATTGCTTGATCCATAGATTTTTCTGATAGTTGATCAGCCCTTTATAGGATGTCTTCTATATGCACATGTATATGGGCGTACAAGTAATAAGTAAGTATTATTTATTTTTGTTTAAGCGAAAAATCGTGAAGATTCATTGTAAAAAATTTACAAGATTCGCAAAAAAAGAAAGTTTGCAATCTGAAAAGTGAGGCGTTGACTAAATTTTGCATACAATTTAGTTGCCCGTCTGTTCATCTTTTATAGAAAATAATTCCTCATTTTAAACGAAGCCTTATGCAATTTTCGAAAGATAAACACAAGGTAATAATTTTAATATCCTCTTATGATGCAGCTTTATTGCCAGTTTTCACTGAAGTGTAGCTTAGCCCGCTGTTTGACCATCTTCTGCAGAAGACATATATTAATATGTCTTCTGCAGAAGAGTAGTCTCGCTTTACGTAGGTATTTGAAAAGATATGTGCCTCATTTAATAATTACGTTAAAAGCAATTTTATAAGACGTATACTATTGTATGTTAGGCGCAGAAATAATTTCGTAACCATTTTTTTAAGAGAATATTAAAAAATATTTTCCTCCACCACCTATACATTTTTCCACTTCTCTGACAAAATATAAGCTATAGGATCAACGGATAGACTTATTATTAAAATACCGCCATAAAAATAGGAAGCCTAATAGAGTAGAACTTTCCACCAAGAAACGAATTTGTTCAGGATTCAACCGAAAATGAACAAGATTTCCTCACTACGAAAGAATAGCAGAAAAAAGCTTTCTTTGCTTGATCTAATTTGGCATGTTAGTGCATGATAACATTACATGTGATTTCATATAAAAATAATAAATATAATAGTTATAACGTAATATATAAAAGGAATCACGAAATCGCACTTTTTGTGGTGGAAATGAAAGATTGCTTCTTTTTCCGCTGTGAATGTGAACACACATTGTATGTGAAAAGTAGGCACAATGTTTATTCTGTTTTTTTTTTTTTTTAATATTGACCCGTTTTATGCAATTTTCCGTTCTATTTTTTACGTAACTTTTTAAGTTTTAATAAAATTTAATAAATTCTGCCTTTGCTTTCAATTTTCACTTTTAGACGAATTGGGCATTAACAAGGATAGGTACAAGTCTTTGGCCGACGAAATGGACTCCACATTCGCCGAATTGGCTGGCTATTAAGGTTTTCGCGCTCTTCTACACAAAAATAGACCTTCTAATCGTATGCTGAACTAGACATTGTACTTTTCGTGCTAAATTAGAAGCTAAACTTTTGTAATAACTGTTAAAACAAAATTTCTACAAAAATTAAAAATTTTTTATTCACTGTTAAATAAACGACACGCCCCGGAAAATACACACAAACCAATTTAATTTGTATAAGCTAGCACAATTACTTTTAATTTAAACAAATTTTCAAAAGTACTTTTTTTAAATGTATTGTTTTCTATTATAAACAGATAAAATTAAATAACTGTAAAAACAAACTAGCCAACAAGAACAACATTATTGTGGTATTCTTATGTACTTCATATCTAAGGAATAAAACAAGACTCGTATTGGGATAAAGGCAAGTTTATATTCGTTTGAGTTTTCGACAGCAGAGTACTTAGGAAGATGGAATTTAGTGAAGGTATTAAATAAAAATATATTATTTCCACAAGAGAAGTGTCTTTTCGCACTCTACACTTAATGCGTAGTAAAAATGTAATTCTATATACAATTGAGTTCGTCCTATACAGGATTGATACAGTTCTGTATAGTCGCGTGAATGATACCAAGCTTTTGCTTTATGGATAAAAGCAGTCATCCCAATGGGAAACAATAAGCATGTGTAAACTTATCATATATATATTAATATATCTTTATAAAAGGTACAAAATGAAAGAAGTGCGTCATGGATTTAATGTAAGTTTTCCTTTCTCATTTAAATTTTTTACATATTTGAAAGCAACGTTCTAAATCTATATATAGAAAATAGAAAAAGTGGACAAAAGAAGAAATGCTCCGGTTCGTTTCCTTTTGCTTGGAGAGCACTCAAGAACAAATCGCTTTCATAAACGTGCTGGAAAGGACGATCGCAAAAGATGCAACTGTAAGTAAAACGGCTTTTGTAATTAAAACAATCTCTAGCTCGAAATAATATCAATAAGCGCGATTGCAAATATATTAAAAATTGCAATCAAGCATATAAAGCAACAATGGATGAAAATGTTGGTGACAGGCGAATTATTGCTAACAATCATACTATGACCTACTGATAGTGGTAATAGGAGCAGTGTCAAAGGAGACTCACAAAGAAAAATATCTAATAAAGGTTAGTATGTAGAAAAATTAGGAAAGATAAAAGACTTTATGGAAGGTAGAGGAAACTCACGAAAAAAAAAACAGAGAGAGCAAACTTGTACCACTTAAAAAAATATTTAAAGGAAAACAACCAATAAATGTTTGTGCTACCAACTTATTTATTGCATTTTATTTTTTTGATTTGTTTATATTGAACAGTATACCTCTGCGTGAAATTGTAGAAAGCTTTTTATAGTTGTATGCTGCTGTTTGCGTTTGTGTAAGCTGGTTTCTTGTTTCTCACGTAACCTTAATTGCCTAATCTACCAAATAAGACAGATTTTTCTTTTTTCTTAGATAAATTGTCTACTCTGTGCATTCTTTGTTTTTAGTCCTTCCGGATATTGGTTTAGTAATTTTTAGGCAATTTGCTCTGCTTATTTTTAACATATTTCTTTTAAAATGACTTGGCTTTACTCTTTTAATATTGAAAAGAATAATGTGATAAGAGAGTAAAAATAGAGTAAAGAAAAGTCTAATATTCGTAGTAAGGAAAGAAGTTTAGTAAAATTAAATAAAAACTAATACGGATTAGTTATGGTACAAGAACGAATTAAGTTTGTGCGGACGTATGTAACACCGAGAACAACTTGGGAACCTTTTATAAGCTAGGCTTGCATGCCTGTCTGCCCGTCTGATGTCTACCTATGTATACTTATTCCTTATTCGTCGCAACTTAAGCGCAAAGACGAACACCATTGAAAATGTTGGAAACATTGCTTGATGATGAATAGTTTGGTTGAGACAACATAATAAAGCACTTAATGACTCACACTATGTCCAGTCTATATCATCAAATGCGGCTTCAGATGATAAACCTGCCTCAACTGAGTATCTTTAATAGAGATATCGGAAATGATGAGCGATGCTGAGTTTAAACTTCACAAAACGATAGTTGATATGAAAGTGTAGTCGAATAAAAAACAATTAAGTGAATTATATACCATTTTGTAGAACATTTGTCTACGTATGATTTTTTCGAGCAAACGCATGAGAGACCTTAACTTACGGGAACCAATAAAACAATTCGCGTGCGTACATGGTATGTGAGCAGTAACATAACTTTTAGAAGGTTGGAAAGTTTAGTTAAAACTTTTTTTTTGCTTTTTACTCTAATTGTCGAATTAATACTCTTAATTCGATAAAGCTTGTAATCAAAGTTGTATATACTGTCGTCATCATTGATAAAGCACAAAGAATCACCAAATAATAAAAACTCACTGTTTTAGTGGACAGCATCAAAAGGGCTAATCCCTTCTACCAAACAAAAAAAAGAAAAAGTAAGCAAAATGTTGCTGTTAAATAATCAAGTAATGTTGCGAACTATACACATTAGATCGAATGGTTCCTTTGCACCTATTACATTATTTGGCAGTAGAGTACCTCCAGGGCTCTGCGGGACGTTTCAAATTTTCTTATGTTACCCGAAAATATATAATTATAAAAGTAGACAATATTATACATTTTTCAATAACTTAATTTAAAATACACAAATTGTTATATGTCGATAAGAAGAACCTACATGCATCCAATAACCCGTTTAGCCCTTACTTTGGAGCTGTTGGGGTGTTGAGACTATCAATAGTTGGCGGATAGCGAGTTTTACTTAAGTGATGCATAGAGCACTATTTCTGTTGTGGTATCAGAAATGATACAAGAAACGGCAAAAAAAATTGAAAGGAGTGGGGTATTAATACCCCAAAAAGAATGGTTCCGATAGGAAATTTGGTATTCCTGGTTGTAAGTAACTTCATGTTGTGCTTTTCTTGTTTTTGTCACACACTGTTGTACAACAAACGAGCATTGAAATATGCCTAATATTGATGCGATTGGATGAGTATGTGGAATCCATTTTTTTTCGTAAGCCTGGATGAACAACGTTCCATAAACCGAAAAGGTAAGCGCACCCTGCTATGTACATATAAATATTTTATTCGTAACCTTTGCGAACACGGCACAAAAATTATGACAGACCTTTGATTTCGTGGATTAAGACAACTTTTTACGATGGTGCCGCCGATGAGGTTTCCCCATTGAAGCGTATAGTGAGGAAATAATAACCGACATATCTTCTACACTTACAAATAGAACTGTGTTGAAATAGAATATATAAAGAATAAATCCGCTACAAGATGTCTTATGAAAATTAAAAAATTTATATAATACAAAAGCTAGGATTGATTTGCAATTCATTTTAAAACTTTATATATTCTTTATAGGTAAACTCATATGTTAATGAATTCATATATTACATAAAATAAAAATAAGATGATATATAGTGAAATTCAAAATTCAAAGTTTTTCTAGGAAATGAAAATATGAAATTATTTCATTTTATTTTAATAACTTCAAACTTAATATCTGCATCGTTGTTTAAACAAGCAGTTATTAATGTGGAAAAATGAGGAAAAATTGTTTTAAGAAGAGAAAAAACCCGAAGGCGGTCATTTATATGGGATAACTTTTAGATAAAAAGGGCACACACCAATGTCTTAAATAAAAAAACATGTTCTAACGCCGTCCTCTATTTATTTCAAAATAAAGAAAAACACTGTTGTGTGACAAACGGGTATGCAAGTAATCTAATGCTTTACAGGACTTTGAAGAACAGGGATTTTCAAACGTTCATTCCGCGTAAATAATGTTTGGAGTTAAATTCCGACCGTTCCTATGTAAGATACAGGTAAGCCTCTACATAATATGCCACTTTAACGCTAACTCGATGAAGGGAGAAATCAGGCAAATTTTCGTAATCAATGAAATGTGTTGCAGGAAAGCGTCTGAAAAACTGAATAAAGCTCAGGGAAAACATTGTTGAAAGTCATAACTATTAAATTTATTATATGAAAAGCAACTACAAAAACCACTTTTATAAACGGGATATTTATTGGCGTTAGTTTGGCCTAATTGAACGTTATCTTCAGAAATTTCATGATTCAATTTTCTAAAATATTGCAGTGCTTTGGTGTAAAATACGGCTGCAAGAGTTTGCACATTTTAAAATTCTTTTCTTTTCGAGTATGTTATATGCCATATATATATATATACGTTTGCACACAATTACGTTTCAAGAGCACGTCATGGTATATTTATAATGCTGGGAACGTTTGCCGACGGGTATCAATGGATTCGTTTGAAGACAAATATAAATTTTATCTGCTTTCTTCCACGTTTTTAACGTTCAATGGCTTAACATAACGTGTATAAAAGTGCAAATGTAAAACGTAGTAGAGAAAGTTTGACGCGCTACACAATCAACATTAATAAGAAGCGTTATATAAAAATGACTACCCACGACAGTTCGTTACAAACATTTGAGAGCATCACAGCTAGTGTGCGGTTAGTGGAAAAATAGTATTTGCATGCATATATGTAGAAAGATGTGCTGTTGGATTACGTGAGAAATCTGTATTAACTTTTTATGTTTTACTGGGCGAGCTGAGACCTGATGAATATTTGACTCACGATGAGTTATTGTTTATATAATTTCGTTTGTTTTGTCGCAATTTGTGTAAACGCTTTAAATATTGCGCTATGTAATAACTTTACTGGTGTAAGTGGCGATGGAAGAATAAGTTCTGGGAATGGGTTACTACACTCATCTAAGTTGTGGTCCCAATTTTTAGAAGATTACATTTTAAGGTACCGCGTTCTGTTTTTACCTTATAAATCTTATTTCGCTTCATTCGTTATCGTATTATTTCCTTACTCTATGTTTTTATTTTAGTCAACCCTCCAATCGACGCTACCCCAAACATCTTTATTATACGGCTAATGGGGATGGGGATGGTCCGCCTATTATTCGGTCAACTTACGAACGGCTTCCTTTTGCTACAATAGCCAAACGCACAGGTCAAGCTAGCAAGGAGTTGGAATCTGACGAACGTTCACCCCCAAAAGTGTTGAAATCTCAGTTTCGACCCATGACTTATCAAATGGTTCAGAACGGTCGCCAATCCGCATTTTTGCAACAGTTGACAGTAGATCAGATGACTCAGCGAGTTAGGCCTCCTGGATCTGTGCGTATTCAGCAACATGCCGGTACACAAACGATCAGAACAGTATCCGAAAATGATTTATATCTCTTAGGAGCCATTGAGAAATTAGTGTATCGCGTGGATTATTTGGAGAGCAGAATACGAAGAACGGAGCAGATGATTTACTATTTAATGTCGGGCAGCAACCAAAATGAAGGTAAAACAATAAAATTGTAAGTACGAGACAATATTTTTTTTTTTGCAAAATTCGAAAATTTTTTTTGCATTTCTCCGCCTTTGTTTATGGACCGTTTTGTAAAGACTTTAATACGCACTTCTATTCTGGTAAGGACGTTATCATTTGACCAAGAAGGCACACCTTTTAAATCCGCGAACAGACTTCAATTCCAATTTATGTCCAACACACATTAGTACCTTCTTCATCTAACTATCTACAAAGTGGAAGTAAATTGGAGTTAAAATTTCAACGTTAGTTGTGGATGGTTTAGTAAATCAATCGTCACAATTTCTGAACGGAACTTGCAAGTGTTTTTGACGAACGTTTGGATAGCAGGTTTCGCGGCATTAGACGCGATATAGACGAAAACATAAAAAATTGTCGGTATTTTTTCGAGGTTGTCTCAGTTTCTAATCTATTGCAATTGTGTAAGCGGGCAGATCACAACCACTTTCATTCCAGCAATGCTTCCTACAAGTGAACACAATATGACAAGAAGAGGGGATCGATCAATGATTCCGTTTGATTGAAATATATATGTATATGTATATCCGGCATCTAACTATAAAAGAATTGATTGTGGATATTCAAAGTTCTTTTTACACAAATACAATTCACCAAAAAGGCTTGAAACATTAAATGCATTATAGTAATTTTTTTGAAGATCGAAAATTAAACCCGATCAAAACGACGGGGGCGGTAGTTCTAGTGCTAATCAGCACATGAAATTCGGGCTTTTCCATTGTTTTGAAAATAATAAGTGTAACTGATCTAATAAATATTCTAATAAATGTTTCTATGACTTATAGATAGCACGTGCAAATCAAATATTATTGAAGAAAATATATCGAAATTTTTAATTAATCCTTTACTTTTCTCAACTCTCAATTTTTTGGAATAACAATTGCTTTAGAAAAACTGTGAAGCCAAGCCCACATATAAAATTTGTTTAACTTTGCATTTTATATTTCTCGATATAGATCGAACTAACTAACATGTTTAATTCTACAGTACCCAAAATGATTCTAAGAGCAAGTACATTCAACATACATTTATAAGACATTCCGTAGCTCTCGAGCTACACACCGCAATGCCATTGCCGAAAGAGGTTTTTAATATAGATTTAAAAAACACGAACGGAATAGTTGTAATTTCATATTAAAATAGTTTAAGATTTATTTTGAATCTAAAGTATCAAATGGCTTAGAATTACAAAATTATTATTATTATTACTCACCTTTTAACATTAAGAAGCACTTTTAAAGTATTTATTTTTGTTTGTTTAGTTCGCGATCCCTGCCCAAATAATTTTACACGTATTATCGACAACTGCTATTACATCAATAGTTACCAGCGAGTAAATTGGAAAAATGCTAACACAGCTTGCAAAGCTTTGGACTCCCACTTAGCAGAATTCGAAAAACCTTCAGAAAGCGAAGACGTAATGGCTTACTTGGTAAATCAACCACAACATCGTGGCCGAGATTATTGGCTGGGAGGCTTAAACCCTGGATTATTGTGGATTTGGTCAAACTCTGCGAAACCAGTTGACCCTCATACAAATCTAACTTCTATTGCTTTGGCTCACCCCGATTCAACCGCCACCGGCAATGACACGGCCGCAAATAATATTGACAACGATCGAAAAATAGCAGACAAGCCAAATAATACGGTAATGACCACAAATCAAAGTGGTGGTCATAATGACGACGTTAAAGGCCATGGTCGCTGTTTGCGTCTAACTTATAATAGCTCAAAACACGCTTACTTTTATTATGGTAATGAATGCACGTCGAGGCATAATTACATTTGCGAACATGAAGACAAGACTTTGGACAACAAAATTAAGAAAATTGCTAGAGAATTGAACCTGTCGCTATAAAAGTCAATTATGGTAAACTTAATAAAATTAAAAAATTCACATTCCTCCATAAGTGTACAAATGTTGTGTTATATTGCATCCGCCAGGAAAACATAAGTTTTTATAATAAATGTTTCGGTAGGATAGCCTTTAAATAAAAAATTAGTTCTCTTTTCCAGGAAAAATATTTTTACAACTATCGGATACTGTAAAGTATATTCAGAGTGGAAAAAGTTTTTAAACTTGTAGAGAATTTCGCTAAATATCGCCATGCCAATTAACAGATCGGCATAATTTTTCTCCCTTCGAAATCTAGACCAACACCAAATTAGTTTTAATAAAAACATTGCCATCCTGGTGACCATAATGTGATGACTCTTAATCGTAAGAGAAATAAATACCCAAGGAGGAGAT